TAAAAATAGATAAAATTTGCATTTTATGGAGGATACAATTTTTTGGGGATGTCAGAAAAATGTACCAAACCATTAAAAGTAATAAGTTCAAATCTGTAGCAAATATAAATATTGTAATCATTTCTTATAAATACAATTTCCTAATGTAATTTTCCAAAATATTAAAGGTCATAATGCAAAAAACTAAATTTATTAAAAGTAATAGGCTTTATGTTTCTTAAACTACCTACATTTGTCAAAGTATTTATGAATTTTCAAAAATATTCGTCCACTAGTTTTATTGTTGGAATGAAATATAGCAAGACTTGCATTGCCTACTAAGAAATTTAGTAGCCGGTAGTCATCGGGTTAACCATATCACTTCAACTTGGCCAAAGTGCTTATGTCATGACCTTTTATAGAGTTACGTTAGTGACTTTATTATTAATATATGTTAATTAACAGGGCATTAAAACATAATTTATAATTCAAGGTTTTCTTTTATACAACTTTTTTAATTTTAAAAGGAAATATTTAAGTAAATTTCCAATCTTTACTTCTCTGTGTCATGTGACCCATCTCCCCTTTCATTTCTCATTTTCAGATTTTATCTGTTCCATTTTATGGGTTTCATAGTGCCCAACCCATTAGAAACACAAACTGTAGATATTGACAGGTTAGAATATAAAATTAGAACCTCCCACCTTGTTTTTATGAGAAATCAGTAAATTTATAACAACCATCACTGAAGCCCTATCCATCTCTTCACATTTTTGAAGCCACTTATTTACTACTTGATATGTGGACATGTTTATAACCCATGGAAAGAGCATATTCTGAACTACATAAATCAGATGATTTTCTGTTTAGTTTTAGTGGTTAGACCCAGGAGTTTGAAAGGAAAGCTTAATGTGTGTGGACTAAAGTTGTTGCTCCAAGCATTAATGGATTTTTTAAACTTATTTATAGCTTAGTTAGATAGCCAGATAGATTGTAGTAGTTTTGGGACATTCTATTCTAATGCTTGCTTTTTTGTGTGTATTCTAAAATGCATATTTTAAAGCTACATAAAGATTTATTTAAAGTAACGTAGTGAACAAAATTAGGCCTAGTACAGTTATGGTTTTAACTTGCAAATACCATGTTGGTTGTGCATTTTGCTTGTTGTGTTTACAATAAATGCCAGTGATCTACCACTGTGATTCATTGATGTTTGAGGGTAGGAACTATAGGAATAAACAATGAAATTAAAAAAAAAACAAATGTGAAAAGGTCAACAGTTGAAAGTGTGAAGATAGAAAGGAAGAAGAAAAAGTATTTTATTTCATATTTTTCAACTTTTCATTACACTTTACATTGATGATTTTGTCACAATTAGTGTTATGACAGAAGATATAAAACTTTCGTTATTTGTTCAGGAAGTTTTAGAGGTTGTGCAAATGAAATATGAAAACTGTAAGGTGAAAAAAAAGTACTTTTATTCTTAACATGAAAATGATTTTCATTCAGATTCAATGAGTAAAAGCTTCAGATATTCACATGCAGGTCTTTAGTAGAAATACTTTATTACAGATTCTGATTTTTTTGTACAACGGACGTGTAATGTTTACTAAAAGGTTGCCAATTTTATGAAGATATATTTAGTCAATTTCGAAGTATAATAAATAGTACCATGTATAGTTACACAGATATAGGGTTGGTCCGATGGACCAATGCTGTTGATATAGGGCTAATGAAAGGAGTAGAGCCTGTGCTTCTGCTGGTGTTAAAAACTCCTCTGGCACATAACCATACCAGCCACAAACATAACTTTACTAGCACACACGTACATGCTCAGAAAAGTACATATATGCCTATGCAGGTGACAAAATGTACAGTGAAAATGAGCAGAAAATAATATTTTCCACTTAGTGATATGTTGATAGAAACTTTTTTTATATTTATTATGTTTGTTTTATATGTTTACTTTTGAGATTATGTGGTTTTTTATGTCATTTTTCCTTTCAGAGATATCAATGTTGGAACAGGTAGTTCTCGGGGTTGTGGGCAAGTTCCTGTACCTGATCAACAAGTTGCTCTTGCCTTGCTGTTAGAGCTAGCAGTACAGAGGGGATCTTTGAGTCACATCCTCAATGTTGTGTTATTATTGTTAGAACTTTGGGATTCTGGCAAATGTAAACAAGATAACCGGTAAGAAATAGTGAAACTGCCTTGTATATTTTTTAAGTTTTTCTGTATTATTATTTTGATTTCAATTTGATTGGTTTAAAATGACATGTATGAGGTCAGTGTCATTAGATCTTTATTGATTTGAAGGCTTCTGTTTTCTGAGGACATTACTTGTGCTGTAGTTCTATTGTTTTTAAGCACTTTTATGAAACTACGACCTTAGGCATACAATTATTATACCTCTAATATGAATTCATTCAGTTACTTATGCTTTAATCATACATAAAATAATAGCCAATAACAAAATATCTTAAGAGATGTTATTTTAAAAGTACTTTGTTATGAAGTATTTTTTCCAAAAATTAGTGTTCATTAGATTTATAAGCTTTTCTAAAAAATGGATTACCAGTAGATCAAATTATGGTCATCCTGAAAAATATTTGCAATACTTTTTGATATATCTTTCATATTGTGAGTAAAACTAATATGGGTGTGGAGCAGAAGAAGCTCTGGCGTGTGTATTTTAATTCCAGTATTTCCTTATGATACATAAACAGAACAACATTTCTTATTAAGTTTATTTGTAAGCTATTGTTTACTGTTGACAAGTTTTTGTTTCTTTGTAAATTTAAACCATATAAAACTGTAAATATAATGAAAATGTATTAAACATCAAAGTGAGTTGATAATGTGCATGTAGAAAACTATGCATTTTACTTTTCTCTGTATATCATAGTTACCAGTTATTATTGATTCTGAGTGATTTTACTCTGAGAACACTTGTCTTTAATTACATTTGAAATTTAGGCAAAATCTTAAAGTATGAAACAATGGAGAGATTTAAAAAATATTCATATTGGCCAATCAGATATTGATTAGGTAGAGCTCTATATACAGTTCAGATTTGTGCTTTAAGTTGATTAATTGTATTCTACTTCAAAATCTAATGAAGAATCAAGTATGTAAGGAAGAAATTGTTTTTTTATTTATGTGGGTGATTACACTAATGCACATTTTATGTTAGCCTTCAATATATAAAATATTTCTCATGGTAAGTGGAAACCTTATAAAACTAGAAGCTCTCAGTTACTGTTTATAATGACACTTTTGTTCTATACTATATTGTAGTTTATGGTAGTATTTCTTTTGTGTGTGTGTGCGTGTGTAATGTAGAATGTTTTATTATACTTGCCTGCTGTAGAATTTATATATTTTTTCAACAGAATTCTAGAATATTTTAGTTTTATATTTTGTGATTAAGAGAAAAAATTAGCTTAGAAATTAAAGATTAAATGAATTTAGTTTCAGTTTAACCTGTTTTTTTTTAAATTAATTTTCTTTATGTTTCAGGGTTATAGTGCATGGAACAAGTGCTCCCTTGGTTCCATTACTCAGGAGATTTGACACTATAACCAGCTTAAAATCTAAAACTCCAGAACCAGAAAATTGTGATGAGGTAGGTTGTATTCCTATTTTTTTCATTATATGAGGAGTTTTGTTTAATGTATGTTGGTAGCTAGCATAGTAAGAGAAGTATGACTGATGTTACTGTTAATAAAATGTTTAACTAACATGATTATAATATGATTATATTGGGTATTAAAACTGACTGAATTTGGTGCCATTTTCCTTTGTGTAGTTGTTAGTCATCAAGAAAATGAAATATATAGGATAATAAATTGCATATTTTGAGAATCAGTGTGATCAGTTAATTAAAAAAATACAATTTCAGCTACTAACCGATTTGAATATTACATGTTAGTGAATAAAACGTAAAAATAATTACTACAGGTCAATGTAAAGCTCTTGAATTGCACTTCGTATATATACATAACAGATAACTTTTAATTATTCAAATGAAAATCCAACAGATCACTCAGTTATTTGATTTAATAAATTCAACATGGTTTAATTTCATTCCTTTTTTCATATTAATTGTTTTAAATGTTTCTCTGGGATTCCCAAAATTGCTTATGCACTTATGAACCTGACTGATTGCTATTTCACCTTTCTTTATATAGCTAGAGGTGTATTATTTTTGAATTACTTTGTATTTATAGAAGTTATGTTTGTTTTTGAATTTCGCGCAAAGCTACACGAGGGTTATCTGCGCTAGCCATCCCTAATTTAGCAGTGTAAGACTAGAGGGAAGGCAGCTAGTCATCACCACCCACCGCCAACTCTTGGGCTACTCTTTTACCAACGAATAGTGGGACTGACCGTCACATTATAACGCCCCCACGGCTGAAAGGGCAAGCATGTTTGGTGGGAGGGGGATGCGAACCCTCGACCCGCAGAATGCGAGTCGAGCGTCTTAACCACCTGGCCATGCCGGGCCTAGAAGTTATGTAAAATCCAAAATTAAATTCAATTGCAACAGTTGTATTGGGTTTAATATATTCTTAATTCTATTTGTAAAAGTTCCATAAGTGGCTATAGAGAAGATTTTTGCATTGTTAAAAGTGATTGGCTAAATCTTGAAACTTCTATGTACTTCATGTGTGTTAGAAGAGTTTTTTAAAGTAGGTCTTTTGTTATGTTATGTGCGTACATTATTAATAAATATTTCAACAGGAACATGTAATAAACTTGTATCTTGTTTTGGTGATGGACTTGTTGATTGTATTGCCTTTTTTTTGTATTATAGTAAAAAACATATTCTGTTTCAGTTTTTAACTGTTTTTTTGTTTGTTTGTTTGGATCTTTTCCATCTTTAACCATGAAAGGGTATGAAGGTATTGGCAGTATCCAGTAATTTTGTAATTTTATGATTGGATGGACAACAAAATAAACTTTGGCATATACCTTCTACTTAATTCAAGAAGGGCTTGAACTTATAGAAGAAACCCAAAACACACATAGGATTAATTGCAGAAACTTTAAGAGTAACTTTAAAAAAACTATTCAAAGCTATCTAAGCTATAAAGTCTAAGGTGGCCTACATCAGAATAAAAGTTTTCTTTAGACCTTCTAAACCATTTTTGATCACAAAACTGCTGGAATAGTCAAACGCATTAAAATTTCTAAAAGAAAGTAAATTTTATGTTTAAAAAAAATGCCTTACAATTTAATATGCCCAATTAAGTTAGTGAGGCAAATAACAGAATTTCACGTTCATAGTCAATTAACCCTACTGTCATGTTTGTTGACTTACATTCAAAATTTTATTGAACTACTATTCTATGAATGTATGTCAATAAGTTATATATTAAATTGTGTATTGTAGTTTAAGTTTTAGTATTATACATAAACTAATTTCTTAATTTCAAAGTAAATATTAAAAAATAATCCTAAATATCAAGTTTTGTGTGTAACGTGTCATGTTGAATCCAGCATTGGATGTTTGTGATGTCCAAATACAAAGTCTATAGTTTCTTAAGAATTAAATACAAAAATTACTTATATTGATAAGCTAGAATGTAAAATAAGAACCTCCTATCTTTTCTATTATCTGAGATATTAATATATTTATAGAATCAACCAAGGTGGCCCTACCCACCTCTTCAATTTTTGAAAATACCTGCTTACGTACATTTACTTTGCCCAATGACGTGTATAACCAATCGAAAACTGAGAATGTCTCCCTAATGGTTTTCTCAACCTTTGCAAAGTACTTGCATGGTAAACTCTTTCTTTTTATGCTAGATTCCAAGCGTTATGTAAGGTAAGACATTAGTGAGCTCAAAATTTCATATTTTTTTAGACCCAAATACAGCTTAGTTGCTAAGCTTGATAAATTATAGTGGAACTCTGTGGTATTGATATAATATTTTTTTATTTTTGCTTATTTCAAAATATATATATATAAAACCTAAAAAAATTATTTTGTTTCTATGAGTGTGAAATTTGATAAGGCTTAGCAACCTACAGCAAGCAGCAAAGGAGTACAAAGTTCATAATTAGAGGAGATAATTGATTGCTATACTCCTTTATTTTCTGTTCTATGTTTTAAGACAAATAAGTTTAAGAACTTATTTGTAAATAGTAATAATATATATGATGTACTATAACTGAAATGTGACTGTATTTTACAAAATACTAAGTCCACTAAAACACAGCCAAGACAGTTCAATTTGTAAAGGCCAGTTTTATATTCTTGGATCAGTAACATGAGTGCACGTGCACCGCATCTTTGCAACTTCTGTAATGTTAGCCAGGCATGGCTGAAAGGTCAGTATAATAAAAGGGTAAAGACTCTGTTTTTCCAGCCCCAGTTTTTTGGGTCAGTCACATAATGCTGACAATTAGGAAAGTTTACCAACCTCGCCTTTCCTCCAGCTTATTGATCAGGTATGTCAAATTGTACATGTTTCGCCTTTAGCCCTGTTTTCTTTCTTTGGTGAAAAGCCCCATTCTGATTATTATGCATTTCCTCCCTCACCTGACATTCTTGTTCATGCTCAATGTTTTGCTGATCAGTTGCTGTCGGGTGTTGGTATACCCTATCCCACTTGGTTGTTGGACCAGTATTCTTTCCTTTACCAATGTGCCTTGAATCCCCATTTGGATTCCAAATGTCTAGATCCTATCCTTCCTTTGTAGGGCTCAAATCCTGAAGCTTTGATCCATTTTAATCATTCCCAGTTTTAGGAATTGGCTTGCTTTGACCACCCTTTTATGTCTAGTCTTTTTGTTTGGTCCATCGCCTCAGCTCAGGGGTTCACCCCTTGTGTAGCATCTTTACTTACCTGTACCATTTGTCCTTCCTCTTTGTCCGTGTACCAGAGATGCTGGTCTACCTTCAGTGGTCCATTCGCCATTGCTTCCATCCTTCTGTTTCTCATCTGTTCTAGTTCTTTACCTGGTTATTTGATCAGGGTCTGTTCGTGTTCACTGTTGCTAATTGTCAGGCTGCCCTTTCCAACACCTTCTGTTTCTCTCATTTTCACAAATCCTTCTCCTCCCCAATTATTTCTCTCCTTTTCCATTCTTTTCCTCTAGTGCACCCTCCCTGTCCTTTTGTGCTTATGGATTGGGATCTCAGTGTGGTTCTTCTTGCCCTGTCTTGTCCTCCCATTGGATTTCTGTACCTGATGAGGGGACTTCCTAGGGAAGGTTCTGTATTTTCAGTTACCTCCTCTGGAATCTAAACATC